TGCCTCCTTTGCATTGTTTTAATGTCATCATGAGCTCATATATCTAAACATTTTTATATGTTACAATAATTGCAGTTATTGTTCTTTTTAATGATCAAATTGTTCTGTCTTCCACTGGAAACCATTCAGGTTGGCTTCTATATCCTTTTTGACAAAACCTAAATAGTGTTTGCTAGTTTTCTTGCTTTCTGGCACGACAGAAAAAAAAAAAAAAAGCTGTGAATCCTCTTTCTTGATATATAGAATTATATTTGGATGATATATAGAATCTTCTATATAATTTGGGGCTCACCATGTATATTTCCTGACACAGAGTCAGTATGACCTATGTCTTCAATGAACTCTGATTCCTCTTAATGGAAAATAGTGTTAGAGACCACAGTCTGGATGCTGTGGCAATTAGTTTGCTACTATGTTCATATTTTCTAAGAGTTTTCTATGATCAGAGCTGTTAAATAAATATTTGTTAAGAAGAATTACATCATGAGTTCATATTAACATTTCAAATTCAAGTATAGGCTGATAGGATTTTTATTTATTTTATTTTATATTCATACCTATTTGCCATATGCTGAAAATCTTAATTTGCTTTATTCTAAAATATTTATTATGGTGCTATGTATGGACTGAATATTTGTGGTCCTCCCCGATAAATTCATATGTTAAAGTGCTAATCCCAATGTGTTGGTATTTGGGGATGGAGCTTTTGGGAGATAATTAGATCTTGAAGGTAGAGCCTTCCCAAATGGGATTAGTGCCCTTTTAAGAAGAAGCCAGAAAACCAGCTAACTCTTGTTCTGCCATGTGAGGACACAGTGAGAAGGCAGCTGTCTACTAGCCAGAAGAGGGCTCTCACCAGAACCCAATCATGCTGGTACTCTGATCATGGACCTCCAGCCTCTAGAACTATGAGAAATAAATTTCTGGTGTTTATAAGCCACCTAGTTTATGGTGTTTTGTTATAGCAACCTGAACTAAATAAGACGTATAGTTTCATAACATTATCAATATTATTACTAACAATATGGTTACTGAAAATGCTTTAAGATTTATGTGTAGCTGCTTTTGCTCCTAAGGTATATCCTACCAGGGATGTATAGCTAAATTATTGTGTTTTACAATCACTTGAAATAATTCCTTTCTAAGTGGTTAAAGTAATGTTACCATCTCAATATAAGTTAAATTCATCAGTTTCACTTTGTGTTTTGATTTTTAGTGATTGATGTGGCATTTTCCCTTATTTTACTTTTTAATAATTTATAAAACAGCATTATGGTTCCAAAGACAAATATACAAAATACATTAGATTTATATAGATTTAGCTTCCTTTCTTGTTCTTTTTACCCTGGTCTCTCCCTTCTCATAAGCTGCCATTTTTATTATATTTGGCTTATCCTTCCAGTATTGTTTTAAAATATAAACATAAATACACATTTCTATTCTCTCTACATATCAGATTAAAGCTATCATACTGTATACATTATTCTGTACTTTGTTTTTTTAACCTAACAGTAGATCCTGGAGATCACATAATAGCAGTACATATGAAGATTCCTCATTCCTTTATGTAGCTACATGATTTTTTTTACTCTGTGGCTATGAATAGGTTATTCAGTCTCTAAAGAGAGTACTTTCATGGAACAGTGTCATGCAGCAAACCTGGGAACGTAGTAACCAAGGCACTAAGAAAGAGTGTCAATTCCAAGTTATGGGCAGTTATTTATTTGCTTAAAGAGAAAATTACTCAAATAGTGAAGACATCATTTCAATACTGAGCTGCTTGTGGCAAAAAGAAATTGCATACTCAAACCAAAAGTGGGGTAAATTAATATAGTAGGGGAAAATTACAACAATTGAAAGATGCTGATACCTTGGTTTATTAAGAGCAAAAAATCTTCTCTTTGGTAGGATGATTGTTACTTGTAGAACTACCAAATTGGGGACTGAATGAAAAACACTCAGGCATACTATAACTACCTCAGAGTCTTTTAATTCCACATACCAAGATAGATTTTAATAATAATATATATATTTTTTAAATTCAGAAGATAAAAGGGCTTACTTAACAGCAGATTTGAGCAGGCAGAAGAAAGAATAAACAAACTTGAGGACAGATCAATCAAGATTTTACAGTCTAAGGGACAAAAATAAGAATCAAAAAATGAAAAGAGCCTCAGAGACCTGTGGAATACCATCAAATGTACCATCATATGCATAATGGGGGTCCCAGGAGAGGAGAGAGAAAGGGGCAGAAAGATTATTTCAAGAGCTAATTGCCAAACACTTCCCAAGTTTGACAAAAATACATTAATCTACATATCCAAGAAGCTCAAGAAGACCTTCTCTAGTTTCTTTCTCCAAAGGCTTGGTGTCCTTCAGGGAGGAGCTCCCTAGTTTCTCACCTCCCTGAGATCGGGCAACCTCTGGATCTAGAGACCAGAAGTATTGGGCAGGGTGGTAAGAAGGTCTGCCCTGTAAAGTAGAGCAGGCTGGACTCTATACAGGAGTGTATGACCAAGAGAGTTCAAGGGGGCTATATCCAGTCCATTCTCCACTGCTCAAGCCATATACCTGCTTCAGGGTTGCCTCTACCCAGAAGAAGAGCCATCATTTTCTAATCTGCCTAATGTCTCAATCTGTTTTCCAAGCCCTGTGCCCATGGGGTTGCATGTATTAAAGGGACAACTTTTTCTAACTCTCACAAAGGCACTTTCTGGATTAGTGTTGGTCCTGATGTGGAAACAGTATGGAAGTGGTCGGACTCAGGGAAGACAGAAAAGTCACTTCATAGAGGTAGATACCCATGCAATTAACCATGTAGGACTTGAGGTTTACTGAAACTCAGGACATCCCTAAACCTTACCTTCAACTCTGCCTGAGCTTGAGAATCCAACCACGAGAGTGGCTCTATTAGTTTTAGTAATTCTAATAGGCTTTTGTCAAAATACTTCTTTGTTACCTAGCTAAGCCAACCCAGACCTAGCATGGTGGTTAAGAGCTGTGTGAACTTGGGCAAGTTGCCTTCATTTTCTGAGTCTCAGCCTTTTCTTCTATGAAAAGGGACAATAGCAATGCCTACCTCAGAGGGTTTTCATACGAAGGAAAAAAGAATTTAAGTGCTTAGCAAAGTACTTGGCCTATAATAGATTCTCTATATATGTGAGCTATTATTCATGCTCAAAGTGTTGCCAAAGGCAGGGGGCAGTGTGTGACTCCTGACATAGTGCTCCTAACTGTACCCTCCATTACCAGAAGGGCTGGAGCCTCCTGTAATACAGTCTTTTCCCTGGGGATATTCATCCCCTTTTCCTTGGCACTGCAAAGTAACTTCTCCTGGACTGACTTCTCTGCGGGCTACATTGGCTGGCACAGGGGTTAGTGAGTACAGTTCTGGCCTCTTGGAGATGGAAAGTGTTTCAGAAGGCCTCTGGCTTTCCAAAGACCACTGTGTGAACAGGCTTCAGATCAGGATCATAGGGGGAACTTAGTAAAATGCAGATTTCCCAAAACCTTCCTACAGAGATTCTGTTTCGGGAAGCCTGTGTGTTGGACTTGGAAATCTGTGCCTTCGACTAATGCCCTAGATGATTCTTCTCCTCTTCCCCATACTCCATGCCTACAATTGTGGAATGCACCTAGGGCCCCAACCACCTACACCAGAGATAAGGAGGCAAGTTGACAGGCAGGCAGGCTCTGGCTGTCAAAAGGTTTGTCCCCATCTAAGGCCACTTCTTCTGCCTCCCATAACTTAGTAACTTCACTAGGTTTGAGCTTCGAAGTCGCAGTACAGAAACCAGTTTTCTCCTTTATTCTCATTTCACCAACAGTGACAGCCATGCACCTCACGACTGAAAACAGCTCCTGTCTCCATCCAGCCCTCTTCATGCTTCGTTTCTCCAGATCGAGCAACCTTCCCACCCTCTGTGTAACTAATTGGCTTAGAGATATTACTGCCTCACAAGGGGGCTAGGAAACTGAGCTCTTGCCTTCAGCTTTCTTTGCTTTTCCAGGCATGGCAGAGCAGTAGTAGGTGGCAGCTGTTCCCAAAGTGTTCCCATTCTCACTCCCTTCCTCCCTCCTTTCTTCTCTTCCTCTGATCCTGTCCAAGACTGACAGGCGTTATGGGAGCACTGTCAGTTTGCTGCTTTGAGTCCCCCAAAACCAACATGTTGAACATTGCTCTATACACTTCATACAGAGGGCACATTAGTTTTGCTTGGTGAGCACACCCTAATTGGGTTCCCAAAGGGAAATTCTAATGCCAGTGCAGAGAATTAAGAATGAGCCAACAGATGGGGTGAGAAGCATGATGAGGAGGGTGGCAGCCAGGGCCACATCTTCTGGAGTCTATATCAACCATGAGACTGACAGGCTGGATCTGGGGGAAGCAGCTAAGTTCCCAGTGGAAAGATTGGATCAGGTGGCAGAATGAAATCATTTTTCAAAATATTTACCAATTAATCTCTGCCCCCTCAGGGATACCTTTGCAGAATATGAAAACAGCCACTTTGGACCTACTATTTTGTTTTGTTTTCTCACTTTTGGGGTTCTGGGGAAGGAGGGTATTTTCCTCCTGGGTTCCTTGGACATAGACTCAAGTCATGAGGCCCATATCCCTACCCAAGATATCCCAGCCTAATAATCCGCGGCCTGTGGGTTGCGGACTCTTTACTGCAAGTAGTCCACAAATCCACCTACTTCAACGTTCCATACTTTTGTAATTGGGTATCAAACTTTCTGAGGTACCCATTTTGTCCCCCGAGAACCTTCTTTGAAGTCTCAGTTCTTAGTTTTTCTCTTTTCTCTAAGCAAGAGTTATTCCCTTAATGATCTCATCCAGTCCCCAAGCTTTACTATCTTAATCCCTTCCCCCCAGCTCTACTGCCAAACCCTCTCCACCTGCAGCCTTTGGCATATTAACACCTTTACATCATCCTTGACACTTCTCTTTCTCTCACATCCTACATGCATCTGTTAGGAAATTCTGTTCGTTCTACTTTCAAAACACTATGTATCCAGAACCTAACTGCTTCTCTCTACTTCCGTGTTACTGCTGTCATCCTAGTTGGAGCCATTATCCATTTATTCCTGGATTTATGCAAAAGTTCCCTGTTCTCCCTGCTGCCATCCTTCCCCTTTAAAGTTTGTTCTTAACAGCCACTGATGCTTTATTCTAATTGAAATTTTTATTAGGTAATTGCGGATTCACATGCAGTTGTAAAAAATAATTCAGAGAGACCCATTAACACTTTGCTAAGATCCTCAAATAGGAGCATTAGCATTTTGCAACACCATAGTATAGTATCACAACCAGGATACTGACATACTGATATACAAATTACTAATTTGATTCTGATTTTTCCAGTTTTACTTTATATTCATGTGTGTACTAAGTTCTATACAAGTTTATCATGTGTAGATTCGCATATTTAGCACCAGTCAAGATACAGAACATTTTCACAAGGATCCTTTGTGTTACTCTTTTATAGCCATACACACAAGCCTCCTGTACACCTCACAGCCACATCCCTAAACCCTGGGAACTACTAACCTGTCCTCCATTTCTAATATTTGGCATTGCATAATGTTATATAAATGGAATTATACAGTGTGTCACCTTTTGGGATTGGCCTTTTCAAAAATTTAGCATAATTCTCCAAGTTGTGTTTATCAGTAGCTCATTGCTTTTATTGCTGAGAAATATTCCATGGTGTATTAGTTTGATAGGGCGGTCATAACAAAGTACCACAAACTACGTGGCTTAAAACAACAATTTGTTGCTGCACAGCTGTGGAGGCTAGCTGTCCCAAATCAAGATGTCAGCTCTCTCTGAAACTGTCTTGGTAGAATCCTCCCTTGTCATTTCCTAGCTACTGGTGGTGGCTGGCAATCTTTCGCTTGCAGCTGCCATCAGTCCAATCTTTGCCTACATTATCACATAACCATCTTCACGTCATCTTCCCTCTGTGCATGTTTGTCTCCATGTTCAAATTTCCCCTCTTTATTTCATTAAAGAGAGGATGGCAAGAGAACTTCTGGGGGACAGGGGAATCAAAGAGGAAGTTTAAGTGTCTAGGTTATATCACCGAGGAGCAGAGGCTCTGAAGGGCAACAGGGGCTTAGAGTCTTTAGCCCCATGGTTTGTCTTATCTCTGGCTAACAGGTGTTGGATGCAGTTTTGTGGAGTATGCAAAGCCGGAAGGCTCTAAATAGGTAAATATCTGTTTATTTGAGCTACATTTATAACAAAAGAATGTGTGAAAATTTGAGCTTAGTACTGGTGGGCTTTTGAGCTAATAGGTCCTGACTTGCTGTGAAAAAGGAGACAAGATGAGGCTAAAATACAGAAGTCATCTTTGTCTCATTCATGTAACAGTGGGTCATATGGAAACTATATTTAACATGTTGAAGAAGTACCAAACTGTTTTTCAGAGCGGCTGCATTCTCACCAGTAATGTATGAGTGATCCAGTTTCTCCTCATCCTTGCCAGCATCTGATGTTGTCATTATTTTTTATTTTAGCTAAGCTGATAGTAGTGTGATTTTTTCACATTTCTTTAATTGCTGATAATGTTGAATATCTTTTCATGTACTTATTTGCCATCTGTATATCATCCTCAGTGAAATGTCTGTTTATGTCTTTTGTCTATTATTTAATTGGATTTTTTAAAGTGTTGAGTTTGGATTACTCATGTACTCTAAATATTGTCTTTTTCTGGATATGTAGTTTGCAAATATTTTCTCCTACTCCGTAGCTTGTTGTTTCATCCTTTTAACAGGGTCCTTTGCAGAGAAAAAAAGGTTTTGTTTTTTTTTATTTTGATGAAGTCTTATCAATTTTTCCTTTTATAAATTGTATTTTTGGTGTGAAGTTTAATGCATCCTTGTCTAGCTTTAGACTCTGAAGATTTTCTCCTACTTAAAAAACTTTTTTTTCCTCCTAGACAGTTTTATAATTGAGAATAGATCAATATCCAGTGTTTACACGATTATGATGAAGCAACTATTATTCCTAGCCTAGTCATGTTATATAATTACATTTCTTATAGAGCTCCAACTTCCCCCCCCTTTTTTTGGCACAAGGTCTTGCTCTGTCACCCAGGCTGGAATGCAGTGGTATAATCACTGCTCACTGCAGCATCAATCTCCTTGGTTCAAACAACCCTCCTGCCTCAGGCTCCCAAATAGATGAGACCACAGGCACCCACCACCATACCAAGCTATTTTTATTTTAATAGAAATGAGGTCCTGAACTCCTGGACTCAAGTCATCCTCCTGCCTTGGCTCTCAAAGTGCTAGGATTACAAGCATGAGCCACTGCACCAGGCCTCTTTGTTTTATAGGTTCTGATGCAACCCCCAACTCTCCACCAGGCATGCAGATCTCTTGAAAAGTTTTATAGTTTCACATTTTACATTTAAGTCTGTGATCCATTTGAACTTTTGTTTTTCCAAATAAATTCTTTTTTTTTAATTGCATTTTAGGTTTTGGGGTACGTGTGAAGAACATGTAAGATTGTTGCATAGGTACACACATGGCAGTGTGGTTTGCTGCCTTCCTCCCCATCACCTATATCTGGCATTTCTCCCCATGTTATCCCTCCCCAACTCCCCACCCCCCGCTGTCCCTCCTCTATTTCCCCCCAACAGACCCCAGTGTGTGACGCTTACCTCCCTGTGTCCATGTGTTCTTATTGTTCAACTTTTATAAGGTATGAGGTTTAAGTTGAGAGTCATTTACTGTCTATGAACATCCAATATCTCTAGCACCAGTTGTTAAAAAGTTTATCCTTCCTCCATTGATATATTTTGACTACTTTGTCAAAAATTAGTCGAACACATTTGTATGGGTCCATTTCTGAGTTTTCTATTCAGTTCCATTGAGCTACGTGCCTATCCCTCTGCCAATTCCACAGTCTTGATTACTGCAAGTATGTATTAAAGCTTTAATATTATTTAATATTTATTATTTAGAATAATAGTATTTAATATTAAAGCTTTAATATTGGACAGAGTGATTCTCCCTACTTTGTTTTTCTGTGTCAAGATCGTTTACATATTGTAGGGCCTGCATCCATCCATATAAATTTTAGAATCAGCTTGTCCATGTCTACAAAGAAACTTTGCAGATATTTTTATAGGAATTGCCTTAAACCTATAAATCGTTTGGAGGGAGAATTGACATTTTTTCTATGTTGAATCTTCCAGTAATTGCGTCAGGTGTTAAGAAGAGGGTGTTGAATTCTCCAACTATAATTAAGGATTTCTCTACTTCTCCTTTTATCTCTGTCAATTTTTGTTTATACATTTTGAGATTTTGTATTTTGGTTCATATTGGGTGATGCTTTAAAATCCTAAATTATATTATGCTTTTCTTCTGCTACAAAACCTCACAATGATTCCCTATTTCATTTAGAATGATTGATCAAGTCCTTATAGTATTCTACAGAGTTCTACAAGATCTGCCCCCAGTAACCTCTCCAACTTCATTTCCCACTGTTTTTCCCCACACTTACTCTGCTGCTGCCGCACTGGCCTCCTTGAGCAGAACAGGCACACTAACTGCCTCCTTAGGGCCTTTGCTGTAACTTTTCATTCCACCAGGAATGCTCCTCCACCTTGAAATGGGAGGCTGGCGTACAGTTATTCCAAAAACTGTTAGCTTTACATATCAGGGAAGCCAAAACTTGGAGAGGGTAAACATCAATAACCAACAGTGTATAATTGGCACAGCCAGTGTATTATGGAGATCAGAAAGCGAGCCTGAAGAAGAGCAGTAATGGAAAATGAATGAAGAGGAATAAACAGCTCAGCTCTGGTTTTACATATAGGAAGAACTGATACGCTAAATTCTCTCATTTTAAAACCTCTCTTCCAGCAGCCTGGGATTAGCTCTGAAATTCCAGCAGTATACTTACTTCTTTGGGATCAGCGTGCAAAGGCTCTTATAAAGGAACCCTGCAGTATATAACTTTGTATATGGATTTTGTTGTAAAACAAACTTTGTATAACTTAGATTTCACCGAGAGATTCACAAAATTATTTGACAATAGAACATCTCCCCAACCCCATGGCTGTCTCACAATATCCATTTTGGCAAACAATCATTCAAAGCTTTGTGTTTTTGAAAAACTCCTGCCAAAAGGCTAATATTATTGGAGATACACTTAGTTATTAGTGTTTAATTAATAATTACTCTGTGATTAATTATTTTATCCAATTAACTTAGGAGATGCAAACTATGGCGAAGGCCTCAGTCCTCCACCTGATTTTGTAAAATAAAGTTTGACTGGAACATAGCCATGCCCATTTGTTTCTGTAGTGTCTGTAACTGCTTTTGCATTATCACGGCAGAATTGAGTAGTTGTAACAGAGATTGAATGGTCAGGAAAGCCAAAAATATTTACTATCTAACCCTTTACACAAAAATTTTTTTGAGCTCTGGGTTTACCCAATAGTAAGGCCCTGAGATTTATCTATCTCTGCCTAACAAATGACAACTAAAGTTTGTGGCTAAAAACAATTCGTTATTACCACAAATGGTTCTGTGGATTGAGCGGGCTCAGCTGGGAAGTTCTCAATTTGCTTCTCGCATTCAGTGACAGTTGGAAGGCAAGTGGAACTAGAGTGGAACTGGACTGAACATTCAAAATGGCTCACTTACATAGCTGGCAGTTGATGTCAGATTTCAGCTGGGAGCTCATCAGGAGCTGTTGACCGGAGGACCTACATGTGCTTGCTCTTTTTAGGTTGGGTTTCTTACAGCATGGTAGGTATGTTCCCAGAGGGAGCGTTTCAAGAGCGGGAAGTAGATAATGCCAGTTGTGTTAAATCCTAGGCTTAGAACTAGTGTAATGAAACTTCTACCATTTCCAGTTAGTGAAAGCACTCTCCTAAGTTCACACCCAAAAGGGACTTGAGGAATAAACTCTACCTCTGCACAAGGATAGGGCAATAGCATACATGAAAAGACGTAATTACTGCTGATTATCTTGAAGACAAACTACTACCATCTTCAATGGAGAATCAGAATGAGGTACTTGAGGAGCAGGGTGCAGCAGGTTTTCAGGGAAAGGATTTTCAGAGTGAATGAAGCCAACTGTGCTTTCACCCATGCCCATTTTATAGATAAATGGATTGAGGCTCAGAGCATTAGGAGAAGCTTCTGAAAGTCAGTGTCTGTGTCACAGTGTTGGCAAGGACCTTAGTTAGCTTGCTGGCAATGTGTGACTAACTCCAAAGAAGGGAGGGGTCTAGAGCTAACAGACTGGTATTAGAGGGCTGATGGAAACTGCGCCTTTGAATAAAGCTCCTTCCTTTCCCTAACATTTCCTTATTCTGTAGGGCTCACTCAGGTACATTAGCTACTATATAAATATAGGCCTTACAGACACTCTAGATTCCTGCCGCTATGTCATGTAGGCTTCTGAAGTCTTCTTCATATCTAGACTCTGCACGCCAAATAAGCTGTGAACACCATGAACATAGAGATCACATCTACAATTTCTTTCACTTCTGGCCTTGAGATGTCTTATATAGATGTTATATACACAGCAGATAACAGAAACTGGGAGATTATTTGAATCCTAGCTAATTTCCCAGCATAGCCTGTGTAGGCCTGGTCCCTGCACATTATTCCAGCCTTATTTTTGCATTTCATCCGTTTTCAGTCATTGTGTTTATGCCAGACATTCAGTCATACATATTCATTCTGTCTCTCTCTTTTCCCTCAATCTCTCTCTCTCTCTCTCTCTCACACACACAAACACACACACATACTCTCTCTTCTGGCCTGATGAACATGTTCTCAATGTTTGGAGCACCCTTCCTTTCCATTCACCATCACCAGTATGCCTTTTTTGACATGCTTCAGAACTCAGCCTGAGTGTGTCAAAGAAAAAATGATTGATGAAACTAAAGAGTGGTAAGGCATACTTTATTCATGTGGACTGTTGTGATAGGCCTAGGGACTACCACAGTGAGGTTTTGCAGTTGCAGTAGGCAAAAGGGATAGAGCTTAACTCTGAATACAACAAGGAAAAGCGGGGATGTATGGCTGAGCAGCAGTGGGATGGTCAGTGAATGGAAAATTACTAAGAGGAAACATCAGGGGGCAGGTAGGATCCTGGCTAATCTGACCTAACAGGATTCTTGCTGAAGATAGGCCAGGGTGATCAAACATCACCTCAGGGGTGATGGAGGTTGAAGAACTCAATAAGATGTTGAGGGTGATAAAATATTGAAGGTGGGGAACTCTGGCTAAGCCAATGAACAGGATTCTTTCTAAAACTGTGCAATGCATAGAAGTTCAAAAGTCAAGGCCTAGTTGGGAAGAGGATTCATCCAAGCCTGACTAAAGTTTGATTAAGGAGAGGCTCTTTGTCAGGTGTTACTTCCTCAAAGAGATCCTTCCTGATCTCCCAAGTACAGATTAGGTACCCCTCTTTTGTGTTCTCACGGCACCCTGTATTTCCACCTCTTAATAGCTATTTTCTCACTTTTCTAAATATAATTACTTACTTGTCTATCTCCTTGATTTGACAATGGTGCTGGAGGACACAGACTGTCTTTAACTTGTTTCCCTGTGGATTTGCAACAGGTCTGACACAACAAATGGATACACTTTCTCTTTGGTGATCTCTACCTTACGTCTGCAGAAACCAGTTTTTTAGTGGGCAGACACGGAGACAGTGAACAAGGAATGTGTGTCCAAAATGTCATGCAGAACACCTGCAGCCCCTCTGAACAGCTCTTAAGAGCTATTGCTGGTCTCATACCACAACCTTGATTGCAAAAACTAAAAGTCGTCTTTGTAAGGCTCCATGCATATACTGCTCCATTTTCCCAGCCTATTAGCACCAACCCAGAGAGCACTGAATGTCAAGCACCTCTCCTTGCTTCAAATCTTCCAAATACACAAGAACTATTGCAGAGCACTGGGAATGTTTGCCAGCTCCTGAGCTTAGGAAATCTGATCTGGGCTTTGTGACAAAAGGGGAGGGGTGCGGTAGCTTTGGTATACCACTCAATTGCAAGAGGACAGCTAATGTTCTTGGGAGATAACTGGCCCCCTAAGGCCATTTGTCAAGCAGGATGATTATGATTAAATATAACTCACCAGTCTACAAGTGGTCCTCAGACAGCAGAATGGATCCAGCAGGACATTGCATGTCACAAAGCAGCCCCAGGGTAGTGGACATCAACAGTTCTGTCCAATTAATTCTTGGAAACACAGTCAGAATTAATGGGGAACTTGTTGAAAGTTGATCGACACCTTTAGAAAGGTGAAATCCTTTTCTGTACCCATTAAGTGTTGTTAAGGCCATTAGCAGAAATTGGAATAGAGAAATATGACCTTTCATGTGGGAGATTCAGAGACTGAGAAGATGGACGAGATGGAAATGTACTGGCAGCTTATAATAAGCACCTGGGTGGGGAGTGATAACTAAAGATTGAAAATTGACAAATGGGTTAAACTGGCAGAGATCAAGACAGAGAGGGATGGAGGGCAGTTTGCATGCAGAGGTGGTGAGAGAAAGGAATGAGAGCATCAATAATCCAGCAGGGTCGCCCACACTGAGGGCCAGATATGGATTACTCAGAAGGTAGGGAAAATTTGCTAGGTGGGAGAGTAGGGAGATTTTCTTACAAGATGAAGAGATCACTTTCTAACTGTTGAAAGGAGTAAATGATCTAGTCTCCAAGAAGTTAGGATACCAAAAAGAAATACTCCAGGCTAAAAGTCAGGAGGTCTGAGACATCTGTTTATTTAGTTGCAAAGTGACTGAATGTCTCCAGCCCTCCCTTCCCCACAGCTGGTTATGTCCTTCCAAGTGATTAACGTGAAATTTCTTTAGAAGCTAACAAGCTATACAAATGTACAGAATTATCATCATGATCATCCAACTGAATCAAGTGCAGAAGAATATTGCTATAAGGAAGTATGTGAGATTTTAATTATTTCCTCTGATGGAGGTGAACATGTTTGCAGATAATCTTGAACAGCAACAGTGCTCAAATGATTTATCTCGGGCTTTACAGCCACACACCATGATATTTTGATGGAGGAAGGTCTGGGGTTGTGGGATGTGCATCAACATGCAATTTTCCCTGACATCTTGCCTTGGCTTAGATTATGAAGCCCTGACAGTGGGAAGAAATGGACCACCAGGAAGTAGTGCTTGAATTGCCAGGAGAACTGTTTGCTGCAGAGACACTCTAGAATCTTCAAGCTAGGTGCAGCATGTGAGTTGGCAATTTTCCACCCATCGACCTGAGTTGCTGTGGTTAGATGAGGGCTTTCTCGCAGGATCCACCAGAGGCCGGGGCTTTGGGTCACTGTTATTGTTTGAATGTTGATTCTTTGCCAGGTCCTATGCTAAGCATTTTACCTGCACCATCTCATTTAATCATCAAAACTACTCTGTGGAGTTAGATACTATTACTGTCTTCATTTTGCAGATAAGGAAACAGGATTAAAAAGATTAGTAACTTATCCAAGGTCACATCACTAGCAAAACACAAAACCTGGTATTAAACTCAGGCATCAACTCCAGAGCTTGTGCATGGAACCGCCATACAATACCACCATACACATATATGACTGAGCCTGAGAATCTGAGAAAGAAGGAGATGTGACCTACCTAAGGCCACCCAACTAGTTAGTTGTTTTTGTTCTTGGACCAGATCTAGCATGCTCACAGCAAATGAAGAATTTTAAAATTCCCCTTTTATAGATGCAGCTCAGTTCTAGTAATAATGATGATGACAGTAACAACTATAGTAGTGGCAACTAATATTTACTAAATATCTGCTTTTGCTAAGCACCATGATAGCTACTTTATGTATATACTCATTTATTCATTCATTGAAAAAATGTTTATTGAGAGCCTGCTATACAGAAACTAGTGTGTTCACACAAAAGCTTGTACACAAGTTGTTTGCAGCAGTATTGTTCATAATAGCCAAAAGGTGGAAAAAACCCAAATGTCCATCAACTAATGAATAAATAAATGAAATCTGGTACATCCATACACTAGAATATAGTGCAGCCATAAAAAGGAATGAAATACTGATACATACTACAACAAGGATGAACCCCGAAAACATTATGCTAAGTGAAAGAAGTCAGACCCAAAAGGCCATATGTAGTATGATTCAATTTATATGAAATATCCAGAATAGGCAAATCTCTATAGAGATGATGAATAGATTAGTGATTATCAGGATCTAGGGGGAAGGGGCAATGGGAGTGATTGCTAATAGGTAGGGATTTCTTTTCAGGTGTGATGAAAATGTTCTAAAATTGATTGTGGTGATGGCTACATGTCTCTGTGAATATACTAAAATCTGTTAAATTTTAGACTTTAAAATTGTATGATATGTGAATTATATATCAATAAAGCTGCTAAAAATAAAGCAATTCCATATGTCATCTCTTTTGCCTAGCCTTTCCTGAAATCCCACTCAGGGTAGCTTCTTCTTCTGAATTCTTCTAGCACCATGTACACACCTCTGTCATAACACTTATGCCCCTGTACAACATTGTCTGATTACATGACTTTTATTTGACTCTAGAAGCTCCCCGAGGTCAAGGAACATGTTTTATTTATTTCCTATGTCTTACAATGTTTCCCTGTCCTTCCTCCACCCTTTTTTCCTCCCTTAATATCACTTCGCCTCCCTTCCTTCTTTTTTCAACCCAAATTTTTATTGGGTATCTACTGAGTGCAAAGGCACTGTGCTAGGTATTTGGGACTACAATTGTGACTAAAGAATGGTCCTTGTCTTAGTGCACTTACAGTCTAATAAGGAAGATAGACATTAAATGTGCATGGTAACTGTTAGAGAATAAAATTGTTTAGCTGAGAGGTCTGAGCTAATCTGAGGAATTAGGGAAGAAATCTGTCATTATGTGTTATTTTATCTGAAACTTGAATGACTAGTACAAATTAGTTGTGGGGGCAGATAAACAGCATTGGGAATGTCTTGAGCCTGGAAAAAGATTGACACCTTGGAAGAAGAGAAGGAAGGGTAGTCTGGCTGAAATGGTAGAAATGCAGGTGTCAGGGGAGTGGAGTGGGTCATGGCTAACATAAGACTTGAGAGGAAGATAAAGGCTTTGTTGGCCAGAATAAATAATTTGCATTTTGTTCTACAGAGGGTTTTTAAGTGTGTGTGTGTGTGTGTGTGTGTGTGTGTGTGTGTATTTTTCAAATGTTCATTGCAGCTGTTCACTTGGAGAAAGTATTGGACACAGCACAAGTATTACATTAGAATAATCCAGGCACGTAACGCTAGCGCATTGGCCTAGGGCAATTGCTGGGGGTGTTGAGAAATGTGAATGAGAAGAGTTAGCGTCATAACCCCAAAAGACACAATCCCAATGTTGAAATCTTGAAAGACGACAATCCCTGAAGTCTATACAATCTCAAAAATCACATTGCCAAATGATCAAAATCCTGAAAATACAATTCTGAGGAAAATAATTTTAAAATTATTCTAAAGACATTTATTTACATTTTAAAGGGTGATTTATTTGAGAATTTGAGAAACATGAAATCATGACAGAACACTTCCTAGGTTCACCACTTTACACAATAAACTAGGCAATAAGAACGTATACATTTTTGCAAACATAAACACTCAGGCACACTAACAATAGTCACATTGGTATAAAAGTTATGAGAAGACGAACCATATTCGTAAATATATCAAAAAGCAAAATGTATAAATGCATATTACTATAGTTAGTAATTTTTTTCACCCAGCTTTATAACTGTGGTCATCTGAAATACTGTGAAGGGACAACCTAAGTCTTGACAAGATTATTCAAAAACTGCCATGGGTCACCACTCCATATACAGTTACCCAAAGAGCTAAGATCTCAAGAAATTTTACCTTTTACAAATGCATATAAACAAAAAGGGCATCTCTTCATTTACTGAAAAAGTTTTAATATTTTTACATACATACACATGCTTATACACAAAGTCAAGGTTATGATAATGCAGTTTTGTGGAGTCAAATTTGCAAAAAGTGCATACGACACATTAAAACTCTAAAAATCTTTACACAATTATACTTTCAGCATTAGAAATGATGCAAATATGAAATACATAGCATAGTGAATTGGCACTGTGTGAGAAGGGACAGAAGTCATACATAATTGAATAATCTGACAAAGGAAATTTCTTGTATTTTTTGCCTGCATTTTCACTTCTATGATCTTTGAAACACTTGTTGCACGTGTATTTGGAGAGTGGCTGTGGCCTACACATTTCCTAAGTGTATGCTGTCCATTTGAAAGTCTGGTGATTGCTCAGCTGTTACAATTATTTTCTGCAGTTGCAGCACCAATAGTAATTAGCTTTTAAACTTTTATCTTTCACCATTACGTAGCCTACTTATCACAGCCTTTTTGCAAAGGAACATTTTTTTCAGGTCTCTTCTACTGTGTCATAAAGAGTACAGTAAGAAAGAATGACATTTAGCTTCCCCAATACTAAATCTGTATTAGTCAGGGTTCTCCAGAGAGACAAAACGAATTGGATACATATATACATATTTGAAAGGGAATTTATTAGGGGAATTGGCACCCATACGTGTCTCCTTAAATCACACTTAATTTCCAAATAAAGACAATAACAAGGCAATAGTTCCACCTAACATGACGCAATATTCTATGTACAACCAAAAATTCACTAATCTTTTCCCTAGAATTCACCTTTCAGGTTTCAGTATTTGGCATTTTAATCTTTCAAGATCATAATTTTCAGGCTTTTAGATGTTAGGGGTTTTAGACCTTAGGAATTTTGATCTTTGGGGATCCAACAATCAGAATTACGGCAATTGGAATTGTGTCCTTCAGGATTATGATGACACTGTGTGATAGGTACAATCAATCAGTTTAGTGTTGGATAGGATACGGGGAGTGAGCAAGGCCTCCAGAAAGATTCCTAAATATCTAGCTGAAGCAACTCGGTGAATAATGATTCCATTAACTTCAATAGAGAATACCGCGGAAGAGGTAGGTTTGGGAGTTATGTGGAAGTAAGTTTTTTTGCTTTTTGTTTTTTGGATGATGTGGTGACATGGAAGTACCTATTGTCAATTCAGGTGGAGAGGTTCAACAAGAATCAATTGATGTGTATGGAACACAGGAAAGATGATGTCTGAGCTGGAACTACGGATTTCAGAGTTGTTAACAAGTAAATAGTACTTGAAGCCATGGGCTTAGCTTATTCATCTTTGTATTTCCCATAGTGTCCGGAGTGGTGTCTAACACAAAGTATTTGTTGAATATTAAGTAAGAAGATGTCAACCATAACCCCTCCCAAAGGGATGATACATATAGGACTCCAGGTTGGTGTGCACAATAGATACACATTAAGAGCTAATGTTTCTTGAGCCCACACTATATATCAGTCACTGTTCTAAGCGTCATGCCGTGTCTCATTAATACTATGGGGTAAGTATTATCACTATCTCTAGTGTTCAAAAGGTGAAATTAAGACACAAGGAGGTCACAGCAAGTGGTAGAGTTAGGATTTGAATCCAGATAGTCCGAGTGTGGAACCAATTATTTTAACCACTGAGGTATATTTCCACTCTAACTAGTACTTGAGGCCTAAGTTATTGGTTTGTTAGTTGGTGAGTGGAGGCTGCTGTTCATGGTTGAAAATCCCTTTTCATGTGTTTCTCCTTCTCTCTGGGTAGCAGTTTTACCCCTATTCTCCTGACATTATTGTGCTTGCCTCCCAGTCCAGCCCCTTGGTACTGGAATAACTAGATAATCACATTCAAAGGAATGAAGTTAGACCTTGCAATGGTTTGAATATGTCCCCCCAAAAACATGTGTTGGAAACTTAATCCCCAATGCAACAAAATTGGGAGGTGGAGCCTAATAGAAGATATTCAGATCACGAGGCTGGAACCCATATGGGTGGATTAATGCCAATTATAAAAGGCTGCAAGTTTGATTTCTAGCTTTCTCTAGCCCTGTCTCCCTTCCACTTTCTGTCATGGGACGATACAGCAAGAAAGCTTTTGCCAGATGTCAGCCCCATGATCCTGGACTTCCCAGCTCTCAGATCTGCAAGGAAATACATTTCTATTATTTATAAATGATCCACTGTGTAGTTTTCTGTTATAGCAGCACAAAATGGACCAGGACAGACCTCTACCATACACTATACACAAAAATTAAGTCAAGATGAATTAAAGGCTTTTATGCAACAGCTAAAAATATAAAACTCTTAGGAGAAAACATAGATGTAATAATCATTCTTCTGAATGTCAAGTACATTTTCCCAAGCACCATTTGTTGAAAGGACTATTATTTTATTTACTTGTCTTGGCATCCTTGTCAAAAGCATTTCAAAGTCCCTATGAACATCTCATTCCCTAGTTTTAACTTTTAAGATATTTGGTCACTCTATTGTTTGCCTCAACTGTTACTCACCATCTTATGCAGTCGCAGAGCTAATCAATTGCTTGGAATTGTTTTTGACAAATGCCCCCAGGTGTAAGACTTTTCACGTTGGGAGAGTGCTGAATCAGGTTAAATGCAGACAACCTTGCAAGTGGGCTTTTCCTGGGAACCACCAGACAGATTAAATAATGACAATTCTCTGGGAATAATTCTTGGAAAGAGCTCCACTTCCTTTCCGCTCTCTCTGCTGTCTGTGAGGCTGTTGGTTTTCACCATGAATGCAGATTATTATTTTTCAAGCCTACTGTTGTGCTAGAGTGTAGGGAATTGGACTAGGACAAGCAAAAACACCACAATCTCACTCTTCTTACAGATACTCAGTCATGTTTCTTGAATAAATGTACCCAAGATTGCTGTAAAGTCTTGGGCAATTTCTAGAGTTCTGAAAAATTTACTTCTGACAATTTTTGCTAGTTTTCTCATTACTTTTTGGAGAAGAGGAGATTTGGAGATTCCCACTCTGCCATTTTTCCTGTTTACTTCTTCAAACATGGTTTCCTTTAGTTCTTTAAACACATTTCTGATGGCAGCTTTAGAATCTTTGTCAAATTCAACATCTGGGGCCATTCACAGATTGTTTCTGTTGCCTGCTTTTTTTCTATGCATATGGTTGATTTTCTTCTATTTCTTTAGTTGATTATTTTTTGTTGAAAATTGGACATTTTAGGTAACATATTGTAGCAAGTAGATATTGATTTCCCTTCTCCCTCTCCAATGCTTCTTTTTGCTATTATTTGCTTGTTTAGTGACTTGATTAAACTATTTTAGTGAGATCAGTTTCTCCCTCAGTGTGAAGTCTTCAGTGTTGATCTTCAGAGAGCA